TCCCTTATACATGTTTAGTAAGTAGCATCGTTTCTGTTCCAGAACGAATTACAAACATTGCCTTACTAATTGGGTAGAACTATTTGGTGAGTTTTCTACATGTTACGCTGAAAAAGATTTAATGCCGAAGAATTAGGTATGCCGCCGACGAAATGAGCGAAACATTTTTAACAGTCTTAACGGAGAAGTTGAAACTAGACCAAACATTGTAGGAAATTCGTTAAAGACTATGATGTGCAGAATAAATCAAACAAACAAACACGTCGTAGGCGTGTTGATTTTGTTCTCGTGTGATGTCTTACGCACGTACATGAACAGAATGTTTTGGCGCCCCAAGGATATCGTCTCTTATAAGGAACATACAAGGTGAACTGGCTGAAATTAATTTCTCACGCCTTCCTGTTACCGATTTGTTATTACCCTGATCTCTTTTGTATGCGTGTATCTCACCAAATGGTTTATCTTAACCAGTTTAACTTTCAGTTTTATAGACCACTCTTCATTCTTCTTGACAGCAATACTGTTTCAGAAATAATAACTTTAAGTATATCTAATTAATTAGTGTTCTATAGAAACTTTCGAAGATGATGGACGCTCCTCGTAACAGACAACTGTTCTTTTCTGAAACGTAATACGTCGCCTGTTTAGCATTTTGGGTATAATCTGTTCGAATACAGTTTGGCCCTCCGGTAGCATTGGTCTGTCTTTTATCGCGTTGGAAATCTTGCAATGAACTGGCTATCCCGAGGTGGTGCATTAGTTTCCTAGGCCCTTCCACACCATTTTCGTAATATACACATTAAAATAGGCCACTACCCTTTCTTTTATATGAATCAGTTACAGTCAACAAGGAAATCGACTTAAGATAACCTGCACAGTGGGCAAGGCTTCTTTTAAATAAACCAAGACACAAACAACTGGAAGAAAGGAGAGACAGATCTTCTTCCACTTGATTCGCCTCGCCCTCCATCTTGTTTGCGTTTTATACCCTGGGGGGAAGCGATGTTCGCGAATAGGCTCCCCACCCACATTGTGATTTTGAAGTTGTGGGGTGTCGGACCCGACATGTGACGCCACTACCGCGTGCCCCACAGCACGTGACCTGTCAGCCACAAACGCCCGGCAGTGGGTTGCAGATCTGTTCCAGTGCTCAGTGTACTGGAGTCGGTTCAAAATGTGCAGGCAGCCATGCGTCACCGACTTTGTGCGAAACAGCATGCAATATTCGTGTGTCTAAGCCAGCACGCTGTTGCATGACCATGTGGTCTGCTAATGTCGTTACGTGTGCAATAATTCAGAGGAATTTTATCAAACCACGTTATACCCTGACCGTGGTTTAGTTATTATATCAATATTATATTGGACGTTGTGCATTGTACGTTGACCTTGGTGTATTTGATATAAACGATATTTCGGGAACTGGATTCACAGCCATCTAAGACGACTGATTGTCATTATTATACTGATATATTTTTATTCCAAGATTTGTGGCGAATGGAATTGGTGACGTTCGCACTTGGAGTCATAAAATCACCTTCTGTTCGAACCCTTCAAGCGGCACAAAGGTCTGGTGTTGAAGGATTAGATCTATACTCCAGCTAGATTTTATTATCACCGCTTTATTTGATAATCTACTCTAATGACAGGGCTCACTTAAAATGTATTTTTAGCTCCTTCCAAACATCTTCAGACCCAGGCGAAAATACTGCAAGAGTAAAATTTTGCTTCACTGTTGTCGCGCTAAATGTCCGAAATGTGTTCGTGCAGATGGAAATTTTCGTAGCTTCCTTCGGTTTTAGATTATTTTCGGGATAACATGTTTATAAAAACCAGCAACTTTTTTCCATTTGATTGTAAATAACCACTGCATTTAATATGGCTATTTTAATAATGATTCATTTTATCTTAATTATTAATCCTATCTTCCTTTGCCCAATTTGTTTCTTTAACTTTCTTCCACTCATTTTCATCCTTTCTCTATTCTTTTTTATATCCACTCAAAATTACAGTTCTGTGTCGTCTCATTACATTCGTTAGTACCGTAAAACTAGCTTCTGTATTGTTATACTTAGCTGAATGACAATTAGCTTTCTTGAATACATTTTCATTTGCATTTTATGTACTCTGTGGGACCGGTACTTCAGTGGTAACACCTGGCGAAGGCAAGCCACAGAGAAAGAGTAGATATTTTCAACATTTGAACAATTACGACATAAAACATACATAATGTGTGCTTATGAAGAATCTAATTAAGCAGGTGTGATGGAACTTTAACAAGACTGAAACTGTTGCTTTGAAACTGGATTGCTCTGCTTTAGAATATCGCTCTGTGTTTCAGATAAGGAAAATACGTGATCTGATTCCATAAACACCGACCGAGATACTGCTCTCAACGAAATACGATGTCCAAATTGAGCGCAGTTTTTGGGTTTCCTTACGCGCAAAGGTCTTACTGATTGATGAAGTTGTGTAAGAATCATTCCGAGTGACCCACCTTTATGGAATTTCATATTTAAATTCTGTGTTGAAACTGGAACCCAAGTTGATGATTTAGACTTACGAAAAATATGCAACAATATCCACTTTTGTTACCTGGTCTGTGTCGAAGGCTCCATGAGTTTATCTGGGTACATCTTGTTTCAAATAAGACGCCACTTTATTCGGAGACTAGTTTCATCATCTAGGCGTCTGGGAAATTCATTTTTAATTTTTTTAATAACCTGTATCTTTATTTCCGTTTACGTCCAATCAAATGTATGAAGCAATTCTTCTCATATATTTCATTTCCGCGTCTGTAAAACCAGACTTGAGTATTTTTTTTTCCGTATACAGTGGATTCTGGTTAATTGGTTCACATCGGGACTGAAATATTTTGGCCCAGTTGTGCGAAGTTCCACGAGAAGAGTTAAAGAAAGGCTTTTTCTTTAAGATCTGTCCCAAATAAATGGCTGTTCCGATTAACCGATGGCCCAATTTACTGGAATCTACTGTATCTAATTTTTCTTTACACACTCCTGGTGCGGTAACATCCAAGACACACTTCCATCTGTTGTCCTTTGTCCAGGCCGAATCTCGTGTATGATTGACGGCATTGCGTGAGTACTGAACTCACTTTTAGTAACTGCGTGCTAAATAGCTTGTCTCAGTGTTATTTTTTATCTATGTTCTCTTTTTTATGTTGTATTGTAACTAAAGGATCGAAACTGAAATGCAAATCATATAATTTAGAATATCAAATGATATGATATTAATGCCATCTGATTGATGAGTATTGTTATAAGACCACCGCCAACTGTTAGCGGCGTATATTTCTCTAACCTTTGATTGCAGACATCTGGATTGTCATGAGATAAACTAATCATACACTTTGGTCCAATCGTGACCAGCACACACAATACCATACAAAGGATAATATATTACAATGCGCCTATAGAATTATAAATTTCTTTCATTTTGCTATCGTGTCAACTTATGTATGCATCGTCTGGAAGTAAAGTTGGTTAAAGAAATGCTGCACTCGAGAGTCTCTTTTGTTACCAGGCACGACATTCTGGTTATTTATAATATCGGCTGGAAGCATGGAGTTCTCGTGTTATTCAAACAACCACTCATTTCGCTTGTGTCCACTGGCTTTTTCATTTTGTCACAGAATAATGTATGAAAATATTTGCTTCTACTTTATCACATCTCTGTAATCCTTCGTTTCGTCGTTCGCCAAATAAAAATACCTAACTCTCTCTCTTTAATAATTATAATCACAATACAGAATGTTACATTTAAAAAGCAAGCATTCACCCCCACCCCCACCCCCCAAGACGACGAAAACAATGGATAATATAATGTAACAATCCTTGCAGCTCGTGCACTGTAATTTCCGAAATCTTGGACATATGCCCTGGCGTGAAGCTTAACAAATAAGAAGATTCATAATAAACGTCACAGTCTGATGTTAATAATGATAGTGGAAGGTAGTATTAAACGTTCTAAAGTTAGTGAATCGGTATGAGTGTTGACATGAAGAAGTTTTGTGCTGGAATTGTTGTAGAGTGCTAGATCTTGAATAGATGATTGCACGTAATACTGCGATCCATTTGTTTGTGGCACGGAGATGGCGTGCTAATTGCCTGGCTGTCAGACCGGCGCCCAGCGTTCGATGTCCTTATCTTAGCCAAGTGCGTAGCCTCATCGGTAAAAAACACAACCGATAACAAAAACGTTCTTTGATAAATTTACAGCGTAACATTGAACGCTGGGTGTGGACACATCGGGTAGGCAGTTACAAGAATTTTGAATCGTTTTCAGAAACTTGTTCAAACACTTCATTTACCGCCATTTACATGTGTGACGGAATTGAACCACGACTGGGTCCAAACGTGAGATGATTTTTTTTATCTGTATCGTATTTTCCACTCATATATAAATTTAAACCACAATACCGTGTTTGTTAACACACAAATTCTGATAATATAGCGTCAAACTAAAATTAAATTATGCAAGATTACGTTGCTTAAATAAGTCAAGAAATGAAAGTCACAGGATGTAACAGAGATTTTTGGTTTCGATTTATAGTCAACATTTCTGCACTGACTGTACCCGTTTTATTTATTTAAGGGAATAACATGTAACGGAAGTAATTGAAACAGGTTTGGTCCGGTTAGTGTCTTTTATTTTTGGAAACTTCAGAATGTAACTATTGGTTTCGTCGTAACCGATCGTCCGTTCGTAATTAACATCTCCCACACTACAGGACCGATCTCATATAAACGCAGTGTAATAGACCCACACTATGCTAGTGCTATTTGATTTGTTCTTACTATGAAGATTTTTGTCTTCTGGGTTGCTGCGCCGTGTAGACTGGTAGAAGTTTACCGACGTTTCAGAGGTGTTTGCTGCCTCCATAATCAAGGCTGTGAAAATCTCAAACCCTAATTTATTTTTATTTTGGTTGTTTTAAGTGCTACTTTACTAAATAACATAAATGTACTTTTCTTACTTTACAGAGTTTCCGGCCAGTTGTTGTGGGGCTACGGCATTGCTGTAAGTATCGTTTATTTGAATTAATTTTAAGATTACTTTGCTTAAGAGCCTATATGAATTTGTAGGCACATCCCGGCATTCACTTGAGAGAGAAATGTTCTATATAAAAGTTTCACGTGCCCAAAAATGCGTGTTATGTATTTTACAATATGTTCTTAGAGTTAATTGATTTTGAGAAAATAACGAATGCAGGTGAGCCTTGGTCTGCTTTCCATCAAGGTCTTTGTTTTGTGGTTTGAGGTAGCAAGAACTATAGATTGATAATTTCGGAGTTTAATGGTTAGTATTTAATTATAAACACATGAAATATTTCATACCGAATTGTTTTTGTCTCCTTACAAAAATTTGAACTCGCATTCTCCAATTATTCGGCAATTTCCTTTGTCAAACCCAAAAGAAATCAGGAAAAAACAAAATCCCATTTTGATCTGCCTCCTTGTTATTTTGCAATAGGCCTGTACACAAAAGCTGGTGGAAATGGCCTCTTGAAATAATTTCTTTCATATATTTATTCCTTATTCGCTTTCCTTTTCCCGTTCGTACCCTTATCACCAAGCTGCCCAGTCGTACCAGCAATTGTAAACCAACTTTTTGCCGTCTAGAATGTTTACCATGAACTTCGTTAGTCATGCATAAAATACACATGTAATCATAAACAGTATCATATTAAATACATATAGCCTATGTGGACACATTAAGGCATTATATATTTGTTTAAATCTTGTCAGTCTAATCACAATAAAATTCCTATTAAATATTAAAATATTACCATAATTAACATTTAAATATTTAAAATATATTAAAATGATATTCTCTATCGAAATGTTCGATTTACATTAGAACATCACTTTTTACACGACATGTCTCAGTTCTAAAAGAACCATCTTCAGGCGTATAAAATTATATAAACTTAAATATAATTTCTTAAATGCAACTTTTAGTCAGATTTTGTAGCTTAAGTGCGTCATGTTTGTGTTGAAATCAAATATATATTTATTATCGCAGTCTATACACAAACGTATTTAAAATGTTGTTGTTAAAATTTATATAACACTATAACATCATTTTAATATATTTTAAATATTTAAATGTTAATTATGGTAATATTTTAATATTTAATAGGAATTTTATTGTGATTAGACTGACAAGATTTAAACAAATATATATTTATCACAATATGACGCAACTTTATCATCTTAAGGCATTATGTTTTTTTTAATATTATCACAGACAATTTAATTACCTTAGGCCATTATAATTTCAGAAAATCGCACAATATTCAAAGTGCCGTTATTGATTACACGGAATCAAAAGGTTCATAGCCGGAGGAACCTTTCTGGACTTATACCAAATTTAATGAAAATCTGTTGAATGGTTCAAAAGTTATTGGGGGACAGGCATGGAAAAACACGTAATATCATAGGCCTTTCATTACTTATAAATCTATGAAAATAGGCAAAAAATAAATATTTAACTTATAAAACTGATCAGCGTGTAAAATAATTCAGAGAGACTGACAAAATTCCAGAATAAATACATAACAATGTATTATCCCTAAGTGATAATAAAGTATAATTTCTTGAGCAGATGGTGAAGTACATTTATATTCATCCAGTTGGAACAGTCCACAATTCATGGGAATGGTTATCTGTTTTAGTAATTTACACTAGTCCCTGAACACGAAGCCGGTGGAAATGTCAGCCGGCTTTCAGTCGCTTACGTAAATATCTCACAGAATATGTAAACGATTAAATTTCTTGAGTGTATGCTTAGTTTATACCAGTCTTGTATAACCCAACGCAATCAGTTTTCGACGACCTACTTGATGCTGCGCTGTGATTGCAGCAGGACTGTTTTACCTCTTTTGTGTTTTGTGTTTTGTTATTTCGTGATCCTACGAAGAATATTGATTGGTCGATTCATTATACCAATAACACATTGGACATTGCCTACTGTACCATCTTTTACGTATACGATGTGTCGGTAATTTTCTGGTTATTCTGTATTCTTCTGGTTACTGACGATCTTATACTAATATTATATTGGACTTCGCTCGCCTTCAGAGATTGCTCTATATTTGATATAAAGTTTCAGGAGTTGTCTCTGCTGCCGTCTTCAGATGATTCTTTGCAATTGTGCTGACAGATGTAACATGGACTACGTAGGCCTGTTAGATATGATTTCATCTTACACTTCTTCTCCATGATCTAATATTTTGTGTGATAGCCTAATATTCAGAAGTTCTTGGTTCGATCTCGTCTAGACTAATTTGAAAATCTTCAAGGAAAACAATAATAATGTGTAATGAATAATGACAAACAACAACCCGAAGACAGGAGTAGAGCCGACTCTTCAAATGACTAATATATCAGTTATACTAGGAAATATTTAGCATAATATTGCAGGCCTATATTATCTTTAACCTTCTCTTACACATTAAGAATCTACATATTAAACAGTTATAATATTTTACTCAGTTTTGCTCTGATCGTTATTATCAAAATGAACGGGACCATATCGTTTCTTTCTTGCCAGTTTATGGATGCATCATATTGGCCGCGGGTTTTGTGCGTTTTTGTGTGTGGAAACACATTATAATGACGCCGTGTCATATTCCGTATGATGGAGTTTGTTTGCAATCTGTATTTTGCAATCGATCATAAAATGTATGCGTGCAATTTGAAACGACTCAGTTTTCGAACACATAAATATGTCGCCCAGCAGAGTGAAATTAAATAAATGTATGAAATTGTAACGTTTGATCGACTTTTGTCGCGCGGAGACGGACAAGATAATATTTGACTCTTATTCTTTCAATTCCCGATGTCCTTTAGGATTTTCATCATTTGTAACAGAATTGTAGTTTAAACTTAAAATTATTCATTGTCAGAACTTTTTCCATCGTCTGCTCTTTAAAACCACGACGCTTCGGAGGCTGGTTCTGTCTCCGTCTTCAGGTGAGAGGTACCTACTCTGTTGGGTCCCTTAGATAGAACTAGTCTCTGACACTGGACCCTTTAGAATAAAATTGTAGTTACGACAGTTTAATAACACTGATATAACTTTGATCGGACTTGTCTTTGTGCACACAATCGCATATGGGCACAACGTCCTTATATGCATGAAGCTGTAAAGAGATACGAGAAGGATATTTTGTTTTAAAAAAGTACGGTGTAGAAAGTGATGAAAACAATAGAGATTAAGAGATATTTCCGTGCAGTCACGTTCCCATGACAACCAGTCTGTTTATCAGTGTGACAATTCTCTTAGGGCATATTCATTACAAACAATTAGCACATGCTGGCTGTATGCTAAATGCTGAAGGCTCGCGAACAGCTTGTAGCACAAGTTCAACACACTTCTCTGAATTCATAATTAATGCGTTTCCCCCTGCTTCCTCAATGGCGCGTTGATGATATGAATTTATCTCCAGGGTGAATCAAATTAAACGAATTATTTTTTTAAGAGTTTCCAGTTTTTTAACGGCTACTATATGACAGTAATGGAACTTGATGACTCAGGGGTATACATTGCTTTGAATGAGGACCACACGAAAAATAAAAGCATGTGCGGGGATTGATTTTTTGACATTCATTGTACGGATGTGGACTCTGTTACTTGACATCCGATCCAAACAAGTGGTTTTATATGTTAATTATAATAAATATTATGACAATGACGGTGATAATAATAATTCAATTAAATCCAATTCTTTATTATCAGTGTGCTGCATCAACAGCCAAATAACCAATTACAGAGACAGCACGAGAGAAGAACACAATAATAAATACAACAAAAAAACAACACAGATTTTCCATAAATTACGTGAGTGTAGAGAAAGTTAATACATACGGCAACTCGCTACTGAGTACATCATTGTCTTTGTGACAATAATTGAATTAAATTAGGTCAACTAGATTAAAAGGAGAAGAAAACATGCAAAACAAATAAGGTATTAAATCAGGGAATTTATGTAATTAGGATAACACATAGTTAATCAGTGCCACATTAACGCTGCCGTGTTTGTGTGGGAGTTCGAGGAACACTTCTTGACCTCACCGACACAAATACCTGATATCTGAACCTGGAGGTACATCTTTCGACACTGGATAGACGACTGGCTTAGCAGTCGCTGTTAGCAGGCAGTTTTCTGTCGCTGATCTGCAAGTGACTTTCGCGTTGTAGTTTAACTCTGCACAGAGCGACTGCTGGACTAGTGACGTGGAGGGCAATATTTTGGAATTGTTTCACATTAATGAAGCAGTTGATATTAGCTCAGTTTGTAGGTAGTGCAAGGGATAGTATTAACAAATGTAATCAATTCATCGACACATGAATGCATGTAATTGATGCCTGTATGTGTATATTAGGTAAGCAGACAGACACAGATAGATAGGTAGATACATACGTACGTACATACATACGTACATAAATACTACTCACGTACATACATGCATGCATACATACATACTTATGTATTCAGATGATATTGGTCAGAAAAAGGCTGGATAGATGTAGAGACATTGACTGTGAAATTTTATAAAAAAATATTTTAGGCCAGAGTTTTTATTGGGTTTTAATTGCTTTTTATTGTTATGATTTTTATGCTTTTCAATTATCGCAAGCTTCTATAAGCGAGAACGCGTTAATTATTTCGGGCAAACGAAAATTTCTTAAATGTAGCTAATTTCATCACAGTTATTTGAATCCCGTCATAGACAGAATTATACACACTGTTCACTCTCTCAGTGCCCCACAACTTACTAACTACAGCGATGATAAAATAAGAATGTAACTTAAATAATGACAGCTAAATTAGAGAGAAGTTATATGGAACATAAATGTGTTAGTGGCAGTGACGCCAAAAAGGTTCTACTCTGTTTTAATTAAACTTGTTATAATTTAATTAACGTCAATTTATCTTTCCTTTAAATGTTCGATATTACTAATTAAATTCACATCAACCTTGAATGTCAAGTCAGTATATT